CCCCAAAACCCCAAAACCCCAAAACCCCAAAACCCCAAAACCCCAAAACCCCAGAATATTTAATAGTTGTTGAGAATTACAATTTCTGGAAAAGTTTGATTTAGGCAAAAGATTCCTCAACCTCTTTTTGGGTGATGTTTGAGTACATTTTTGTCCCACCTCTGATGTTCTGGGGGTCATGCAGGATAACTCTGTTGCTGCTCCTGGGCTCATGTAGATTTTCACCATAGATTGGATAGGAAGTTCTGTACCTTTTTCTATTCCTGAGGTAGCCTCTGATGCAAACATCATAATATGCTTGGTCGATGAATTCCTGGTTTCTTCTAGATTAGTAAAGTTAATATAATTTTATACAAAATTTGCAAAAAGAACCATCCAACTGACAATTTTCTTGGAATTTTAACAAAAAAAAGTTTTAACAATTGTTAAATAATAGTTGTACCCAGAGTTCACAGAAATAACTGGTTCTAACCTCTCAAAGATCGGGAATAGACTCATGAGCAATGAATAGCATCTTAAACTTACTCCTCTCGAGACTTATGATATCCTCCTGAGACATTATAGAACCCAGGTACTAGATTTGTTAGCTTATCTGGGTTTCTGATCAATTCTAATAGTTTATAAGTAAAATTATACCTTTATGGTGCCTTTCAACTCTTGAATGCATTTCTTCTTTATAAAATGGCCCATTGGTGAAGTACAATGTGCCATCATCAAGGTAGTAAGCCTTTGACTCATTGTAGTTATCAATGGTCTCCAGAAAATCTTCTCTTTCAGTTTGCTCCATTTGGTGAAGAATTGTGTCAGCTGGACTTCTGACGTCGAATTTGGTAGTTTCACCCAAGTCTCTAGTCTGAGTCGGCATAAATCTGGGGTCTTCTGATGGGCCTTCTTCAGATGGATCTTCTTCAGCAGACTCTTCATAATGCACTCTTTTAGGTGTTATTTTGTTACTTTTGGTTGGCTTAAAATTTGATTTTCTGAAAGAACTCACATTGCTTGGAGAATCAGAGAAAGGTAAGTACCTTTTAAAAGTATCATTTTTAGAATCTGGGCTAGGATATTTATAATTCTCTGGCGTTTCAGTAATATACTCTTTAGTTTCTTCTTTTGGCTCCCTTTCCACTGAATTATCAATCTCAGAGCGTTTATTTTCCTCTCGTTCTTCCAGCTCATCGCCTTCTTGGTAATGGAGAGAGTCTCTATATTTTCTAGAGAGTCTCTTAAGTGCATCCAAGTCCTCAGGACTAACATTATTATCCTTTATCTTTTCCTCACTTAAGAGCTTGAGATATCTGCTTAGGCCAAGTTTATTTGTCTTTTCTACTTCCTCCTCTTCATTAAGACTGTTAGGCTGATATTTTGTGTAGTAATTTTGGGGTCGATTGCGGTAAATGATGCCATCTCCTCTTCTCTTAACATCTGTGTAATCATACTCGTGTATGTCTTTGGACTGGTCAAAGTCTCTCATGACTTTGATCCTTTCAAGTCGTCTACATATTAGGGAATAAAGTACTGTTTTAAGTATTCGTCTCTTTCATTAGCCTGGTGGTTGATACTAAGCCTTCCAAATTCGTAATCAGTGGTCATTGCATATGACTTGGTGGGGGTATTCACTAACTTTTTATCACTCTGAGTTTGTAAGTAATCGTCCATATCCTAAAAGTTAGAAATTTCAGTACTGTTTTTGATTCCTCCATGATTTATTTGCTTAAAATTTATTAGTTAATTTTTATTTCAAGAGTAATTTCCTTTGAAGGGGTTTTGGGGTTTTGGGGTTTTGGGGTTTTGGGG